CACGCACGCACGCACACACACACACACACATACACATACACACACACACACACACACACACACACACTCGCTAAGCATTGGAAAGACAGCTAACGGCATGCAGTTGCATGAGTGTGTGTGTGTGTGTGTGTGTGTGATTACCTAATTGTGATTACCTAATTGTGTTTACGGGAAAGAGCCCAAAGCTCGTATCTTCCCGTCTCCTCATCGGTTCCATTTTAGACTTAGTGATACTTATCGTACCTGTCCTTAAAACTATGGATTGAGATAGCATTAACTACCTCCTCGCTTAGCGAATTCCAATTATCAACTACTCTTACACTGAAAAAGTATTTCCTTACATCCTGCAAACAAGTTTTCTTACGAAGCTTCAAACTATGACCTCTAGTTCTAGAGCCAGCCATATCGAAATATCGATCCCTATCCACTCTATCATAACCATGAAGGAATTTAAAGACTGTCACCATATCCCCCCTTACTCTTCTAGCTTCGAGTGATGGCAAGTCTAATTTCCTCAGCCTCTCATCATAACTGAGATTGCGTATTTCTGGCACCAGTTTCGTGGCATGTCTTTGAACTTTTTCAAGCTTAGCTATGTGCTTTTTCAAGTGCGGATTCCAAAAGGGGGCTGCATATTCGAGTTTTGGCCTCACATAGGTTACATAAATATTTCTGAACATTTCCTTGTCCATGTGCCTGAAGGCTACCCTTACATTTGATAAGAATGCATATGCTGTCCTTACTACGCCATTTATATGTATTTCTGGAGACAAATCTGCCAGTATGTTTACTCCTAGATCTCTCTCATTTTCTGTCTCTTGAAGTTGTACTCCAGCCATTGAGTAGTCAAGCTTGGGCCTTCTTGCACTTGTACCCATTCTCATTACCTTACATTTTGAGGTATTGAATTTCATTAGCCACTTTTCTGACCACTCATGCAGATTATTTAGATCCTCCTGAAGTTCTCTACCATTGTTCTCGTTTTTTACTTTCTTCACAATCTTTGCATCATCTGCAAACATATTCATGAATGAATTTACAGACTCTGGTAGGTCATTTACATATACAAGGAACAAAAGTGGCCCTAAAACTGAACCCTGTGGAACTCCACTACTAACTCTTCTCCATTCAGACACTGAGTGTCTTACTCTAACCCTCTGTTCCCTTCCTTCTAAGTAAGTTTTTATCCATTCCAAAACATTTCCACCTATTCTAGCCATTGAGTGCAGCTTCCTTATAAGTCTCCCATGTGGAACAGTGTCAAACGCTTTCTGGAAGTCTAGGAATATGCAATCTGCCCAGCCCTCTCTTTCCTGTAAGATTTGGCTTACCTCATCATAAAATTCTAATAAGTTTGTTACTGTTGATCTACCTTCTCTGAAGCCATGTTGCCTCACTGACAAAAAGTTGAAGGATTCCAAGTGAAGAGAGATATGTTTCCTTAGTAGTTTCTCCATAAGTTTGCAAACTATGCTGGTCAAGGAAACTGGTCTATAGTTCAGAGCCGTATCCCTCCTTCCCTTTTTGAAGATAGGTATCACATTTGCTTGTTTCCAGCATCTTGGAATCTCCCCCGACTCCAGTGACTCCTTAAATATGATACTTAGTGCCACTGATATTGTGTTTGCGCATTTTTTAAGCACATGAGGGGATATGTCATCATGACCTGTAGCTTTATGAACATCTAAATCCTTCAGCGCTTTGCATACCTCTGTGGCTGTAAGGTTGATGTTCTCTAATACCGGCCCTTGAGCTTCTATCACTGCAATCTGAGGGGGTGGGATATTTTCTACTGTAAATACTGACTGAAACTCCTTGTTCAATTCTTTGCAGATCTCTTCGTCCGTCTCAGTAATGCTTCCATCCGCTCTCTTTAGCCTTAAAACCTGTTCTTTTACCTTCAGTTTTCCTCTGATAAAGCTGTGGAAAAGCTTGGGATTTTCTTTAGCCTTCCTGGTGATGTCCCTCTCATAATCTCTCTCTGCCTCTCTCCTTTTACTTAGGTAGTCATTTCTTGCTCTTTTGTAGGTTTGCCAGGCATTTATGTTTTTTCTCCTCCTATACCTTTTCCAGCATTTGTCTCTCCACTCCTTAGCTCTTTTACACCCATTATCGATCCATTTCTCTCTGGCATGAATTACACCTACTTTGGTGACAGGTATGCAGCAATCTACTATCTTCCCATATTTCTCACAAAAGATGTCATACATTTCTTGTACAGATTTGTTGTAAAATAAGGTTCTCCAGTCAATAACTGCAAAAAGCTCATTTATTTTGATGTAATCTCCTTTCGGATAGTTCCTCCTCATGTCCTCAGTGCCTCTACTCTCAGGAAGAATATCTTCAATGATATACTCCATCAACAACACACAGTGGTCACTCTTTCCAATTGGTGGTTCATACTCAATATTTTCAATATCCAACACATTATCTGTGAACACTAGATCAAGTAGTGATGGCTCATCCCCACCCCTGGCTCTTGTTGGTTCCATTACATGTT